ATGATATTTTCTCTAGTGTGATATATTATATAAGAAGGTTGGTCCAGTGGTTGATGTGTAATGCATTTTTAGATTTCCAGTTTAGAAAGATTGTTTTCTTGGCAATAGTTATAGATAAGAAGTGGGATTTTATATTTAATTGGTAGGTGGTTGACTTCTGTGACATTACCGAGCAGGCAGCGTAACGGAGATGGGGGAATTCTACAGCTCAAGATGGTGGAGAGTTTCTCAGTCACCGCTACCCAGAGGGAGTAAACGGGTTGACAGGTCCAAGTAGCATGAAAGTAATCATCGGCGCTATCCAGAATGCATTGTGAGCAGGTATCTGTATCAATGAAACTCATTTTAAACATTTTACCTTGTGTGATTTGAGTCCTTTGAATAGTCTTGTATTGTATAAGCTGTAAATTTATATTGGTAGTCATGGAAAAGATAATATTACAGATCTTGGTCCAGAAGTCGGGGCTGGGGGGGAGCAACAAATCCGTTTCCCATTTAGTGATTGGTAATGTTACTGTTCTATCTGTATTTGTTTATAAAGTTTAGGTATTATCTTCTTTGAGTTTGTAAATTTCATTATCTCTTCAGCTAGCATGGAAGGTTGCAGGGGGTTGCTGATTATATTGATCTTTGATTTAATTATGGATTTTAACTGTTGGTACTGGAGCAATTCTCCTCTCCCAACTTCGTATTTCTGGAGGAGGAGAGATTATTGTTTGGAAGGTGAATCCTCCTCCATAAGGACTCGGGACCTCATGTATCAAGGCCCTATCCCGGGTTACTTCCCTTTTTTCCAGCTTCCTTGATTTCTTTTTTCTTCACCAGGATCGAACTGATCGTTGATGCGGACTTCCTGTACATCCTGGCGAGATCGGCCACGCGTATGCCGCTTTTGTACTTTGCTACGAGTTCTTTCTTGAATTCTATCGTGTTTCTCACCTTCTTTATTGGAACTTTCTTTGGCCCTATGGCGGTTTGTTTAGCAGTCACAACAAGCACAAAAAACAGTGACAGACTGAGTCTCGAATGCATGGAATGCTTTGTGTGGGCGCTCGATTCCGGAAAATGAGAGGCCGAGTTACGTGGGTAGGCGGACGAGTTTGGTACTGACTATTGACGTTGAACCAACCAATCAACTGTACGAAAACTGTGTGGATGTACGAAAACTGGGACAAAATTTTGACAAAAAAAGTAATTGAAAACCGAATTGTACGAATAGTAAGGGGTACGAAAACTGAGGTTCCACTGTATTGTAATTGATTTGCTAAGAAATAATACTCAAAATTTGGTGCTTCTAGGCCACCTTGTGATTTGTTCTTCTGGAGTGTTGACAGGGAAATTTTGGGTTTCTTATTATTCCAGTAAAATTGCGAAGTTACAGAATCGAGTGATTTGAACCATTTATCTGTCAGTGTTGTGGGAAGCATTGAAAACAGGTACTTAATTTGTGGTCAAGTTTTTATTTTGACTGTAGCAATTCAGCCAATGAGTGACAGTGGGAGGTTGGACCAGGATTTGAAATCATCTTCTATCTTTTTTAGCAGAGGGGTGTAGTTAAGGTTGAAAAGTTCTGACAAAGCACATTTTCATATTTGACAGTGATACAGTATAGACTAAGGCCCTTGACACACTGTCCGGCCATCTGTGAGCATCTGTCACAATTGTCTTTGGGACGAGGTTTGGAAAAGCCTCTGTGG